CCCAAAGAGGGAACAGGGTGCCCCCAAATCCAACATGGTGGCTATCAGGAAAGGGCTTCTTTCTTTAGGAAGAAATTCTTTGGAACACCCAACATGGGGACACAGGTAATTTAAAATATTCAAGAAATGAAATGAGTGATTCTAACTGTGAATTGTTGAATTGCCCTTTAGTATGTTTTGTGTGGTGGGCTAGAAAAACTACTCCCACCTACAGAATGCTAAAGCTCATACCCAAGGCAGTCAAAGCCACTTGCAATTCGATAGTTCACTATTTTCTGGTTGTATCATCACCACCACCAATAAAACAAGCAGCAAATGACACCTCTCATTCACTTAAAAACACAGCAAGGTCGAATTCCTTCCTTCTTAAAAATGTTTCTAGCATTATAGCAAAAACTTGCATGTATAAAACATTTGATAACAATGTTCCCCTGGATGCCAGAGGGAGGGGGGACTGCTGATAAAGTGTGGTATGTGAGAGTTATCAGATTTGGCTTCTTTCCCTGCTGCTTCATCAGAGGCTGGGCTCTTCTCATGTTTAGTTTCTCTGTCTTCTGCAGACAAATCTTTAGTTTTTTTGGGTAACTACTTTGGCTTGTTTTCCCTTTGCTCCTCTTTTCTCTTTGGTTTGCACTTTTGTCTGAAAGTTGATCATTTCCTGTTGCCCTTTGTGGCTTTATTTTTGCTTTTGCAGAAGCAGAGACAGGTTAAACCAACCACCTTACCCATCACCTCTTTAACTTCCTTCATTGCTCCTCCCCCCAAGTGACTTCCTCCTGTGTGCCTAGGAGGCCCACGTACAGGGTGAGTGCATGCCAGTGTGGGTAGGGTGTGCCCAGAGACTTTGGGAAGCTGGCCTACCTGGCCCCTGTAAAAGAAATTAATATAAAACTTAACTATAAATGGCAAATAAAGAGAATTTATAACAAAATATATTTTATTATGTAAAATTTCTTATCTGAATATGATAGAAGATATATTAGATGCCTGTAAATTTTGATAAAATTAAATTTATATTTAAGATATTTAAGAGAGGATCAGAAGCCATTTGTATAAGTGCTAAAAACAACAAAGAGTAGAGGTAGGAGTGGCAATACTGCTCTAAGTTATAAAGACCAGAATAAAGTAATAAAATGATACATTCATTAGTTTAAGATAGGAGACAGGAGGATATAAGTTAGTCTAGCTAAGTGGAAGACATGTGGAGGTGGAAGATATGGATACTGATGACCTTGATGTTGTGAAGGTATAGTCTACTGTTTGTATTAGTTTTTTTTTTAACTTTTATTTAATGAATATAAATTTCCAAAGTACAGCTTATGGATTACAATGGCTTCCCCCCCGATAACGTCCCTCCCACCCGCAACCCTCCCCTTTCCCACTCCCTCTCCCCTTCCATTCACATGAGGATTCATTTTCGATTCTCTTTATATACAGAAGATCAGTTTAGCATACATTAAATAAAGATTTCAACAGTTTGCTACCACACAGAAACATAAAGTGAAAAATAATAGATGATTTTTTAAATGATGATGAAATCAGATCAGACCTATTGTCATGTTTAATCCCAGATTTATTTACTTTTGTGAAGGGGGGTGGTGAAAGAAAGATGGCTTCCACCTGCTGGTTCACTCCCCAGATGGTCACAACAACCAAAGCTGATCTGGTCTGAATCCAGGAGCCAGGAAGTTCTTCTGGGTCTCCCACATGAGTGCAGGAGCCCAGGCACTTGGGCTATCACCCACTGCTTTCCCAGACCATTAGCAGGGAGCTCGATTGGAAGTAGAGCGGCTGAGAATCGAACTGGTGCCCATATGGGATTCAGGTGTTGCAAGTGGCAACTATATCTGCCATGCCATAATGCCAGCCCCATATCTTTTTTTTTTTTTTTTTTTTTTTTTTTACTTTTGACAGGCAGAGTGGATAGTGAGAGAGAGAGAGAGACAGAGAGAAAGGTCTTCCTTTGCCATTGGTTCACCCTCCAATGGCCGCCGTGGCCGGTGCATGGCGTGGATCTAAAGCCAGGAGCCAGGTACTTCTCCTGGTCTCCCATGCGGGTGCAGGGCCCAAGCACTTGGGCCATCCTCCACTGCACTCCTGGGCCATAGCAGAGAGCTGGCCTGGAAGAGGGGCAACCGGGACAGAATCCGGTGCCCCAACCGGGACTAGAACCCGTGTGCCGGCACCGCAAGGCGGAGGATTAGCCTATTGAGCCATGGCGCCGGCCCCATATCTAGTTTTTAACAACAAATTTTAGAGTAGAAATATAAAAAATTTTTAAAAAGTTTGTAAAATGTAAAGAAAATATTCTTGTACACCTGTACATAGTGAGTTTGTGTTTTAAACTAAGTCTATGAGAGTCAAAAAGTTAAAATAAGGACAAAAAACCTTTAGAGTGAAAAGTTACAGTAAGCTAAAGTTTATTAATTATTGAAGAAAACTGTATTATTATACATGGAATGTAGCTTAAATGTGTAGTGTTTATCAAGTCTATGGCAGTACACCATGATGCCCTTGGCCTTCCTCACTCATTCACTGATTCACAGAGTAACTGGTAGTCCTGCAGGCTCCTTCATGGTAAGTGTTCTCTACAGGCATATCATTTTAATGTTTTATACTGTAGTTTTGCTATAACTTTTGTGTGTTCTGAAATGTTGAGATACAAAAATATTTACCATTATGTCACAATTGCCTACAGTACCATGCTGTACATGTTTATAAGCTAAGCGTAATAGGTCGTCCCATACAGCCTAGATGTGCAGGTGGCGATATCATCTAGTTTTGTGTGAGTACACTCTGTGACAGTCACACAATGACAGAATTGCCCTACATCGTAGTTTGCAGTATCTCCCATGACTGTAGTTATAAGAGAGGCTTTGAGGAACTTGTGTGGTGGAATCCTGGAGATGACACCTGAGTAAGACTGAAAAAAAATAGGCAAAACTTAAACATATAGCTTCAATACAGAATGATCACAAGAGAGACTTTAAAATCGTTGTGTCACAGAATAACAGACGATGCATATGAAATGACAGCTATGAGCTATATTGTATTGAAATAGGAAACTCTATCAGAGGACACTTTTATTTCTCTGGACTACATCTCTGGTCTAGGTGGGTCTGTAGAGACTTCCAGCCAAAATAAACAGCTACTCATTTCTGAACAATTCTTCTAGGCACTGGTGGTTGTGTTGTCATTTGGATACATCTTTACTCCAACCCCTAACTGGCAGGAGTTTTCAAAGTACTTTGATAAGTATTGCTCCCCTGACTATAGCAATCCTCAGTAAACCTGAGACTTCCAGTCTCAGGAGGGAGTCCCCAGTGTTTGGGCCTCCAGGAAGTGGTGAGATTCTCTCTTTCTCTACCTCTTACACAGTGAATTTCAGGGGTGATCCATGGTTCCCCTTTATGAGACCATATAGTCATGCTTTCTCTTGATATTCCTGGTTCTAGCCCTGGCTGTACTGGAACAGGTTGGCCAATCCTGCCCAGGTCTCAAAGACTAACAGCTGGGGACAAGGTTCCTGTAGGTACCTACAACCTTCACAGCTATTTTTTCTCCTGTTCCTCTGCTTCAGAAAATAGAACCATCCAAATGCCACACACCTACCTATGCTAGGCTGAAGTGACAGCTTACACCCTCCTGCAGGGAGGAGGGGAAATTTGGCACCTTAGTTTTCCAGGACTGTTGTTGCAAACAAGTACCCAGCAAAATGGCCCAGATCAACAGAAGTTTATCATCTCACTGTTTTGGAGGCTAGGTGTCCAAAATCAGGGTGTTGGCAGGGTCATGCTCCATCTGAGACCTACAGGAGAAGGGTCTTTCTTAACTCTTCCTGGTTCCTGGCAATGTTCGGTATCTCTTGGCTTCTGCATCATTCCAATGCTCCAGGCGCATCACTCCACTCCTCCATCTTTACATGGTATCCCCTCTGTGTTCACCTGTCTCTGTCTAAATTTCCCTCCTTTTATAAAGACACCAGTTATATCAGAATAGGGCCCACCCAAATGATTTTATCACTTCTGTCAAGAGCCCATTTCTAAATCAGGTCACTTTCTGAGGTACTGAGAGTTAAAACTTCAACATACTCTTTTTGGGGGTCACAATTAAACCATTACAGAAAACCTCCTTCAGCAACCACTCAAGTGAATTTCTGAGTTTAAAAAATTGAGTACATCTTTGGGCTCTCATCATCAGTTCTTGGAAAAACAAGAACAATTCAAAGTGTCTTCCTATAGAATTATGCTACTGATATTATCATAAGCACAAATAAATGGCAAGTAATAATAATTTCTTAAGAGGTTACTGTTAGTTAGGAGCTATTCTAAGCTCTTCTAGCAATATACTGTCATTTAATTCTTCCATATACTCTTTTGGGGTAAGAACTCTCATTTCTGTTTTATAGGTGAGGAACCAAAAGCACAGGGAGACCAGGAGTCTTGCTTGGCTACATCAACATTATGTTTATGTCTCAAGACAAAGTATTTTCTTCTCTCAGAGGAAGGAGTCCTTTCATTCCTGTTGATCTCCAAGCTGAGATGAAGTAATTCAACTCTACTTTCCCACATCTCCCAGACCACAGGGATAGAGGTGGCTATATTAATCCATGTTATCTCACATTGGCTTTTTTTTTTAAGATTTATTTATTTATTTGAAAGTAAGAGTTACACAGAGAGAAGGAGAGGCAGAGAGAGAGAGAGAGAGAGAGAGAGAGAGAGAGAGAGGTCTTCCACCTGTTGGTTCACTCCTCAGATGGGCACAATGGCCGGAGCTGGGCCAATCCGAAGCCAGGAGCCAGGAGCTTCTTGCCAGTCTCCCAAGCGGGTGCAGGGGCCCAAGGACTTGGGCCATCTTCTACTGCTTTCCCAGGCCATAGCAGAGAGCTGCATTGGAAGTGGAGCAGCTGGGTCTTGAATTGGTGCCCATATAGGATGCTGGCACCGCAGGCAGCAGCTTTACCCATTGTGCCACAGCACCAGTCCCCCATATTGGCTTTAAAAAGAGAAGAGTCAACTTGTGATCATATTGCATCCTTTATTGAAGAACTAGAAAAAAAGAGTATTAGAAGTGACTTCATTAGAATGCATTTTCCATGACTTTTGGAAAATAATTGCAGTTCTTCATGAATTCACACTTAATCTTTTGCTCTTGACAGGAGTCATACTCGTTCTTCACAATTAGGGGGTGATGGAGGTTTCTGACAGTGAGATTTCTGAAGGTGAGGAACCTAGGATGAGTTGAATGATAACAAATTGATCATGAAGGTACTCTAAAATGAGAGCCTTATCCTGAACCATTGAGACAAAACAAGACAAACCATTAACAAACAGATATGTAAACCTAAAATATGAACAGCTGAAAACATGCTGAGAAGACAGCACTTACTCTGTCCTGGGGCCTAGGCAAAGGGATATGAGATCTGTGACTCATTAGGTACCACAGGTTTAAATGAGCTGCAACAAGCATATTAAATGAAAATATTACTCTTAAAATAACTTTAACCTTCAGCTAGACTGATGAGTTCTGAGATTCCTATTCAGTTCTCTATATCATGTTGTAGATCAGACAAGAAATACCTGAACAGCCAATGGAGTGGAAAGCCATCTGGCTCAGACTACAGGATTTTGGGGAATCATTGCAGGAGGTATTCTGATGGGAGCAGCATCAGTCTTTTCCTAGCAAAAACTCTTGTGTCTCTTTTTCAAATCCTCAGCAGAATATTGTGTTGTATAAACACACACACATAACCTAAAATACGTGATGTTTTGAAAATAGGTTTCTAATAAAATGAAATACAGATGAGTAGTATTTAAAGCTGTGTTTAACAGTTATGGAGAAGTATAGGAATTAGAAATAGTGGGTAAACATCTTAGTTTCCTAGCAACATTAAGTATGAAACTAATGTAAAAAAATGAATAAACTTAAATGTCTTTCAAATTGGTTCTCTTTCTTCTTCATTGTTCATAGGTACTCATCACTTGGCTGGTCTGATGGAGCAGTTGCCTAAATATTCTGTTTCTTGCCTTGCTCTCCTCTGACTCTGTCTCTATTCTCCTGCCAGAATGACTGGGAACATTATGGTTGACTCCCTCAAAAATCACTCTACTGTACATGATTTGTGCAATGGTTTGTGCTGCAATGATTTGTCTAAATTATCCATGGCAGTTACAACCCCTTTGCCTTCATTCAGTTCAGAGTTGGGTAGGCCCAAGGCAATGTGAAGCCAGTACGAAGTCGAGATAGGCTTCCTTGTGGCTTCTGAGGAAGAAAAGCCACTTTCTCTTGCTGCATGTGAACCAGAAATTATGCTGCCTAAGCCCTCTTAGGGTCACAAGGTGAGACAGCTGTAGTATGAAAACAGGATGATTGCAGAGTAGGCAGACAGAAAGAATCTGGGTCACAGAAAACATCTCTGAGCTGCTGTGTCAATCAAGGCAGAAGTCTTGCCAACTTTGAACTTGCTGGCATAAGAGATAACATATTTGCTAACTGATTTAGCAGTTTGAGTTGTGAGTCTGTTCTTCACACCAGAAAATACTCTAATGAAAATAATTTTGTGACCAAAAATTTGATCAAGAAACACTGTTGTTTAAAACCCTTCAAAATTACCCAGGTACCTATGTACTAAAATCAAAATTCCTTCATAAGGTGGTTAGGCACCATTAGCATCTGGTCTCGATTTCTCTCTCCAGCCTCTTTTTCCATCACTGAACTCCAGATACTACAGAAATTCCACCAACATGCCATTCCTTTGGCTCAGAGTTTTAGGCTGACATAAAAATGCAGATACTTGGGGGGATTTTGAATGAATTTAGGCAAACTGGATAGGTAAGGAGATAAAATTGTCAGTCATTGTGATATATTTCCTTGCATCACTATTCAGTGATTGTGTTTCTGTCCTTTATCCTATTAATGCAGTGTCTTACCTTGATTACTTTCTTTGTGTTAAACAACATCGAATTCCTAGGATAAATCTCACTTGATCAAGGTATATAATCCTTTTTCTAAGTTGCTGGATTTGGTTTGCTAGATTTTGTTGGGAAGTTTTCAAAATGTGTCATTGGTCTGTAGCTTTTGTTTGTTGGGCAATTTATTCTTTTTCTTCTGTTGATTGTGTTTTTGGTGCCTTACCTAACATACTCTTGCATAATCCACATCACAAAGAATTATGCTTATATTTGCTTCCAAGAATTTTGTTGTTTATTCAATCAATAGACATTTATTGTGCAACAAATACAGAAAACTCTAGAGCTCTAAGGAAACATATTGATTATAAGCCTGATAATTGCTCTGAAAAAAATTATAATCTTATCATCATTTATATATGGGCCCCTTTCACACATTTTAGTTTCGTGCAGTTCAACCTTGCTGCAATAATCAAGAAATGGTCCTGGTAATAAAAAATAGCAATGATTATTTTTTTAAACCATCTGTGTCCTCTTGGGTGGACAGAGACTAAGAAATCAATGAAGTTATTATATCCAATTGTATTTACATTGTATTTTGAGCTAATTTGTGTATTTCATGAGGAGTAGAAACTTAACTTTGCTCTTTTTTATGTGGATATCCAATTGTTCCAGCACCATTTGTTGAAAAGTTCATTATTTCCTCATTGACGTGTTTTGATACCCTAGCCAAAGATCAACTAATCACAAAACGTTCTATTTGTATGAACTTGCTTCTGGACCCTTGACTGCATTATATTGCTTTTTAAAAATATATGTTTAGCTTTGATAAGTTATAATTTTACATATTTATTGGGTATGGTATGATAATTCAATACATATATACAATGTGTAAGGATCAAATCATAATAATTGGCATTCATATCACCTCAGACACTTCCCATTTCTTTATGTTGGGAATATTAAAAATCCTCCTTACTAGCTATTTTGAAATATTCAATTAACTGTTTGCTAACCATAGTTACCCTACTGTGCCAGAGAACCTTAGAAGTAATTTCTTCTATCCAACTGTTCCTCATACATATTAGCTATCCTCTCTCCATCCCGCCTCTCCTTCCACACCCTTCCTAGGCTCTGGTAACTACTATTACATTCTCTATTTCTACTAGATCAAATTTTTGGCTTCCATAGACAAGGGTACTTCAAAAAATTCATGGAAATTGATCGAATTAAGATTATTTTGGTGCAAAAAATTCTTAAAGAAAAATATTTTTGAAATGTGCATATGAGGGATATTCGAAAAGGTCATGAACAATCTAAATTTCATTGAAAAAAACTCTGCATGAATTTTAAAACAATTTTTACACCAAAATAAACATCTTTTAATTTCATTTACATGAACTTCTGTCTGTGTGAGAATATGTACATTTGCTTTTCTGAGCTTAACTTATTTCATTTAACATAATATGCTTTGGTTCCATCCATGTTGCTACAAATGAGAGAATTTCATTTTTTTTAGTGGTTGAGTAACATTCCAACATGTGTATATACATTATATATACATATATCACTTATGACTTATCCATTCATCTTTTGAGAGAAACTTATGTTGATTCCATATCTTAGCCATGTGAATAGTGCTACAGTTAACACATGAGTGCAAATATCTCTTCAACTTATTGATTTTAATTTCTTTGAGTATACCTCTAGTCATGGGATTGCTGGATCATATGATATATACTGATTTTTACGTCAGCTTTCATGCTTGTACTAAAATTTCTTGATTATTGTAACTTTGGAGTAATTCTTGAAGCTCTGAAGTGTTAATCTTCCAATTTTGTTTTCCTTCTTTAATATTGATTTGATAATTTTGAACTACTTCCACTTTCATATGAGTGTTAGAATCAGTTTGTCAACTTATGAAAAAAGCCAGTTAGGATTTAGTAGGTATTATGTTGAGCTGTAGATTAATTTGAAGGAATACTATCATCTTAAGTCTTCTGATTAGTGAACATGGGATATCTTTCCATTGTTTAATTCTTTAATTTCTTTCTTTTTTTTCTTTTCTTTTCTTTTTTTTTGACAGGCATAGGGGAGTTTGAGAGAGAGAGACAGAGAGAAAGGTCTTCCTTTGCCGTTGGTTCACCCTCCAATGGCCGCCGCGGCCAGCGTGCTGCAGCTGGCGCACCGCGCTGATCCGAAGGCAGGAGCCAGGTACTTCTCCTGGTCTCCCATGGGGTGCAGGGCCCAAGGACTTGGGCCATCCTCCACTGCACTCCCTGGCCACAGCAGAGAGCTGGCCTGGAAGAGGGGCAACCGGGACAGAATCCGGTGTCCCGACCGGGACTAGAACCCGATGTGCTGGCGCTGCTAGGTAGAGGATTAGCCTAGTGAGCTGCGGCGCCGGCCTAATTTCTTTCAATAGTGTTTTCAAGTTTGTGGTGGACAAGTCTTGCATTTCTTTTGTATACATGTATTTCATGTTTTGATTTTATTTTGTTTTCTAGTATTTAAAAAATAATTGATTTTTGTATATTGATCTTGTGTCCTGACACTTTGTTGAATGTATTTATTAGTTAAAATAGTTTTTTATGGATTTTTAAAAAGTATTTTATACACAAGAAATTACAATATTTGTAAAAAGTTTTACTTTTTCCTTGATCAACTGGATATTTCTATTTCTTTTTGTTGCCTTATTTCCATAGATAGAATCTCTAAGACTATGTAGAAAAGAAGTGACATTAGAATCCTTATCTTATTCCTAATCTTAAAGGAAAATGATTCAGTCTCTTTCCATAAAAATTTATGTGAGTTGTGGATTTTTCATAAATATTCTTCTTCATTTTTTTTTTTTTTTTTGACAGGCAGAGTGGACAGTGAGAGAGAGAGACAGAGAGAAAGGTCTTCCTTTGCCGTTGGTTTACCCTCCAATGGCCGCCGCGGCCGGCGCGCTGCGGCCGGCGCACCGCGCTGATCCGATGGCAGGAGCCAGGAGCCAGGTGCTTTTCCTGGTCTCCCATGGGGTGCAGGGCCCAAGCACCTGGGCCATCCTCCACTGCACTCCCTGGCCACAGCAGAGGGCTGGCCTGGAAGAGGGGCAACCGGGACAGAATCCGGCGCCCCGACCGGGACTAGAACCCGGTGTGCCGGCGCCGCTAGGCGGAGGATTAGCCTAGTGAGCCGCGGCGCCGGCCCTCTTCTTCATGTTAAAGAAATTCCATTCTATTTCTAATAGATTGGTTTCTTTTAATCATGAAAGAACATTGGATTTTGCCAAATGCTTCTATTGTTTATTGAGATAATCATGTATTATCTTTCAAAT